GAAAATAATGGGCTTGTGTGGCAGGAAGACATTACATGTATTATATACCTCTGTCCAAGTCATGAAAATTAAGGCTTGTGTGGCAGTAAGACATTATTATCTACTCCAGTCCAAGTCAAAAAAATTAAGGCTTGTGTTGCTAGAAAGATATTGTCATCTACCCCAGTCCAAGTCAAGAAAATTAAGGCTTGTGTGGCAGAAAGACATTATTATCTACCCCTGTCCAAGTCAAGAAAATTAAGGCTTGTGTGGCAGAAAGACATTATTGTCTACCCCTGTCCAAGTCCAGAAAATTAGCGCTTGTGTGGCATAAAAAAACATTACATGTATTATATACCTCTGTCCAAGTCATGAAAATTAAGGCTTGTGTGTCAGAAAGATATTATCTACCCCAGTCCAAGTCAAGAAAATTAAGGCTTGTGTGACAGAAAGACATTATTATCTACCCCTGTCCAAGTCAAGAAAATTAAGGCTTGTGTGGCAGAAAGACATTATTGTCTACCCCTGTCCAAGTCAAGAAAATTAGGGCTTGTGTGGCATAAAAAAAACATTACATGTATTATATACCTCTGTCCCAGTCAAGAAAATTAAGGCTTGTGTGTCAGAAAGATATTGTCATCTACCCCAGTCCAAGTCAAGAAAATTAAGGCTTGTGTGGCAGAAAAACATTATTGTCTACCCCAGTCCAAGTCCAGAAAATTAAGGCTTGTGTGGCAGAAAGGCATTATTATCTACCCCAGTCCAAGTCAAGAAAATAATGGGCTTGTGTGGCAGGAAGACATTACATGTATTATATACCTCTGTCCAAGTCATGAAAATTAAGGCTTGTGTGGCAGTAAGACATTATTACCTACTCCAGTCCAAGTCAAAAAAATTAAGGCTTGTGTTGCTAGAAAGATATTGTCATCTACCCCAGTCCAAGTCAAGAAAATTAAGGCTTGTGTGGCAGAAAGACATTATTATCTACCCCTGTCCAAGTCAAGAAAATTAAGGCTTGTGTGGCAGAAAGACATTATTGTCTACCCCTGTCCAAGTCCAGAAAATTAGCGCTTGTGTGGCATAAAAAAACATTACATGTATTATATACCTCTGTCCAAGTCATGAAAATTAAGGCTTGTGTGTCAGAAAGATATTGTCATTCACCCCAGTCCAAGTCAAGAAAATTAAGGCTTGTGTGGCAGAAAGACATTATTGTCTACCTCTGTCCAAGTCATGAAAATTAAGGCTTGTGTGTCAGAAAGATATTGTCATCTACCCCAGTCCAAGTCAAGAAAATTAAGGCTTGTGTGGCAGAAAGACATTATTGTCTACCCCTGTCCAAGTCATGAAATTTAAGGCTTGTGTGGCAGAAAGACATTATTATCTACCCCAGTCCAAGTCAAGAAAATTAAGGCTTGTGTGGCAGAAAGACATTATTATCTACCCCTGTCCAAGTCAAGAAAATTAAGGCTTGTGTGGCAGAAAGACATTATTGTCTACCCCTGTCCAAGTCAAGAAAATTAGGGCTTGTGTGGCATAAAAAAACATTACATGTATTATATACCTCTGTCCAAGTCAAGAAAATTAAGGCTTGTGTGTCAGAAAGATATTGTCATCTACCCCAGTCCAAGTCAAGATAATTAAGGCTTGTGTGGCAGAAAAACATTATTGTCTACCCCAGTCCAAGTCCAGAAAATTAAGGCTTGTGTGGCATAAAAACATTACATGTATTATATACCTGTACCACTGTCCAATTCAAGAAAATTAGGGCTTGTGTGGCAGAAAGGCATTATTATCTACCCCAGTCCAAGTCAAGAAAATAATGGGCTTGTGTGGCAGGAAGACATTACATGTATTATATACCTCTGTCCAAGTCATGAAAATTAAGGCTTGTGTGGCAGTAAGACATTATTATCTACTCCAGTCCAAGTCAAAAAAATTAAGGCTTGTGTTGCTAGAAAGATATTGTCATCTGCCCCAGTCCAAGTCAAGAAAATTAAGGCTTGTGTGGCAGAAAGACATTATTATCTACCCCTGTCCAAGTCAAGAAAATTAAGGCTTGTGTGGCAGAAAGACATTATTGTCTACCCCTGTCCAAGTCCAGAAAATTAGCGCTTGTGTGGCATAAAAAAACATTACATGTATTATATACCTCTGTCCAAGTCATGAAAATTAAGGCTTGTGTGTCAGAAAGATATTGTCATTCACCCCAGTCCAAGTCAAGAAAATTAAGGCTTGTGTGGCAGAAAGACATTATTGTCTACCTCTGTCCAAGTCATGAAAATTAAGGCTTGTGTGTCAGAAAGATATTGTCATCTTCCCCAGTCCAAGTCAACAAAATTAAGGCTTGTGTGGCAGAAAGACATTATTGTCTACCCCTGTCCAAGTCATGAAATTTAAGGCTTGTGTGGCAGAAAGACATTATTATCTACCCCAGTCCAAGTCAAGAAAATTAAGGCTTGTGTGGCAGAAAGACATTATTGTCTACCCCAGTCCAAGTCAAGAAAATTAAGGCTTGTGTGGCATAAAAACATTACATGTATTATATACCTGTACCACTGTCCAAATCAAGAAAATTAGGGCTTGTGTGGCAGAAAGACATTATTGTCTACCCCAGTCCAAGAGGCTGTTCACACCGCAAAGAGATAGCGCGGTCTATCATAGCACCCCCTTTTTTCTAGCGCGCGCTAGACCGCGCTCTCTCTCGTGGACCACCCCCAAGAGGTGCTCCAGTGGCACGCCGTTTTGGCTCGCCGTGGCTCGCTGTTGGGCAGACCAAAACGACGTTGTACCTTCCAAACCGCAGAGATAGCGCGGTCTAGCGCGCGCTATCTCTGCCGGTGTGAACAGCCTCCAAGTCAAGAAAATTAAGGCTTGTGTTGCTAGAAAGATATTGTCATCTACCCCAGTCCAAGTCAATAAAATTAAGGCTTGTGTGACAGAAAGACATTATTATCTACCCCTGTCCAAGTCAAGAAAATTAAGGCTTGTGTGGCAAAAAAGACATTATTGTCTACCCCTGTCCAAGTCCAGAAAATTAGGGCTTGTGTGGCATAAAAAAACATTACATGTATTATATACCTCTGTCCAAGTCATTAAAATTGAGGCTTGTGAGTCAGAAAGATATTGTCATCTACCCCAGTCCAAGTCAAGAAAATTAAGGCTTGTGTGGCAGAAAGACATTATTATCTACCCCAGTCCAAGTCAAGAAAATTAAGGCTTGTGTGGCAGAAAGACATTATTATCTACCCCAGTCCAAGTCAAGAAAATTAAGGCTTGTGTGGCAGAAAGACATTATTATCTACCCCAGTCCAAGTCAAGAAAATTAAGGCTTGTGTGGCAGAAAGACATTATTGTCTACCTCTGTCCAAGTCATGAAAATTAAGGCTTGTGTGTCAGAAAGATATTGTCATCTACCTCAGTCCAAGTCAAGAAAATTAAGGCTTGTGTGGCAGAAAAACATTATTGTCTACCCCAGTCCAAGTCAAGAAAATTAAGGCTTGTGTGGCATAAAAACATTACATGTATTATATACCTGTACCACTGTCCAAGTCAAGAAAATTAGGGCTTGTGTGGCAGAAAGGCATTATTATCTACCCCAGTCCAAGTCAAGAAAATAATGGGCTTGTGTGGCAGAAAGACATTACATGTATTATATACCTCTGTCTAAGTCATGAAAATTAAGGCTTGTGTGGCAGAAAGACATTATTATCTACTCCAGTCCAAGTCAAGAAAATTAAGGCTTGTGTGTCAGAAAGACATTGTTATCTTCCCCTGTCCAAGTCAAGAAAATTAGGGCTTGTGTGGCTAAAACACATTATTATCTACCCCAGTCCAAGTCATGAAAATTAAGGCTTGTGTGGCAGAAAGACATTATTGTCTACCCCTGTCCAAGTCAAGAAAATAGAGGCTTGTGTGGCAGAAAGACATTATTATCTACCCAATTCAAGTCAAGAAAATTAAGGATTGTGTGTCAGAAAGACATTATTATCTTCCCCTGTCCAAGTCAAGAAAATTAGGGCTTGTGTGGCAGAAAGACATTACATGTATTATATACCTCTGTCCAAGTCATGAAAATTAAGGCTAGTGTGGCAGAACGACATTATTGTCTACCCCTGTCCAATTCAAGAAAATTAAGGCTTGTGTGGCATAAAAAAACATTACATGTATTATATACACTGCACACACAAAACCATCCACCCATGACACACACATACACAGAGCCATACACTGCCTACTACTTTGCTTACAAATACTACACACTAACAAGTCATACACACACACACACACACAAGTACTGTAGATGCGCATAGTACCTAGCTACCTGGATGTCAACTGTAGATGGCACTATTCCGTTTGGCTACTTGGACACAACCCCTCTCTAAAATTTGGACATTTATTTTGGGCCTTTTTGGGGGAAATTTTTTTCTTGTGTGACTAAATCTTAGTTGATTAGAAATGACATGTCAGACATCTTAGACACTGAATATGATAGTTTTCTTGTGTGGCTAGACACACAAGTCTAAAGTGACACACAAGGATATCTCATACGTAAAACTAAACACACAAGCATACCATCGCAAACTCGGACGTACGGACGTACGGACGTACGGACGGACAACCCGAAAACATGATGCCTCCGGCACCACCTTCGGTGGCGGAGGCATAAAAATAATAAATAATTAAAGATTAACAGGATTTAAAGCTGTAACCTTGCCTCTACCAAGATTTTTCAAGCTAGGGAAACTTGACATAATACCACAACAAATACGATCATTGGAAAGAAATTAATAGAGACCCATATGCATGTATTTTCATCCCATCCACTAGAGACAGTCATCAAAGTGTGGGCAAATACTCATCAACAAAACTATAAATATCAATTGAGATGAAAAATAGCATAGACAGTTGATCAGAATCATACCACTTGATAAAACATGAATTGAATAATGATGTATAAATGTTATACTGTAGGCAAAGGGGATGTCTACTTGTGTGAAAGCATGTGGAAGAATTCTTACCATCTTTCCTGCACTGTAGTTGAAAATGAGTTGAGTTGTACGCTTCTGTTTCTCTGCTGCGTTATCTGAAATGAACAACAACAAAAAAGGTCCAAAACATTAGAAATACATGTTACAAACTCTAACATCATCTTAATTTATGTTTTCTCTGTGGTCTCCATGTGATTGTCTAACGGTTTCAATTCATTACGTGTATCTAAAATGAATTTTTCTTTCTTTAATATGTGTACTGATATCTCTCACAAATTACATTCACTAGATATCTACAGTACTTTAGCTAGGAAAAAAAATAAAAAACAACTTTGCAATTTCTTTCATAACTCAATTTTAAGTCGGATCAAGTTGTGAATAATTTTTTTACTACATTATCTTCATCCTCTTTAAACTGTGTAAGAGATATCACAGTACAATACATATATATCGCTTTGAAAGGAAATGAAATCTATGTATTCGATAAAAGAATTGATATATATACAATAATAACAAAAAATAAAAGCACATGTACAAAGCCAACCAGTGAAAAAAAAAAAAAAAAAAAAAAAACATACACAAACATGGTAGTATGTTAAATACCACTTTCACAGTTAAAAAAAAATACCTGAACTGATTTCAATGTCAAATTCAATGATATAGATGCATCAAGTCTTTTACTCACTCTTGTAGTTTTTCAAATCCCATCACATTTGGTGATAAAATCCCTTTTAAAATGATCACCATCATCATCATCATCACAGCGTATTAAAATGATTAATATTCCATGCAAGACACAGTGAGCTATAAGATTCCTGCCTTACGAAAGAGAAGCGCTTCCTAACACCTTATGCGATGCAGTCCTGACGTACATGACCACACATTAAGAGTGTTCTCCTACAGGCATCTACAGCATCAACAGAGGACGGCTTCAACGGCTCGGGCAAGAAACCTTCTTCAGCTACAAAGAGCAGGTGCTTCATTCATTCCTCATTCAGAGAGCAAGCAAGCGCTAATGAAAAGCCGGGTCAGTATTAGCCGGCCATATTATAACATCACAATGCACATTCTAACGCGCTAGCTGCCATCAACGATGGGATGACATTAAATGGATGATAGACTCGTTGCTATGGGCAACTAGAGATGCCCATCTTATTAATTGAGAAGCCAGTGGAGGATTGGAGTTTATGTCCTTGGGGAGAGTGCTCTCATCCCCATACTTTATGAGGATGTTTGTTTTTAATTGGTTGACGAGGTTTCACTCTATTATGCACTAATAAATTGGCTCTACACTGTACATGCAATTATCTCTCACTCTGCCCTCGTTAATATATATGCGCATGCAAGCATGAGTGATAGCTCATTATATGCTAAATGTCAAGGCAGGCATATGTTGACTGATTGATAACAAATAAATTATTCTTTTGAATCAAGCCATTAAGATGCGTAGTAGAACAATTATCCTTTCTCGTTAAATTTTCTATCCCTTTTCTCTCTCTACCTCTCTTTCTCTCTCTTTCTCTCTCTCTCTCTCTCTCTCTCTCTCTCCTTCTTGTTTTCTTGGCTGTCTCCCTCATTTCCTCTTCATTGTGCTTTAATTCACATGTATACTGCTTTCTGTATTAAACCACCTGCCATTCATTAATTTAGGTAAATCATTAATAATCATTATACTTTTCTTCTGATTTTCCCTTCTTTTTCAAACTTTCACTTCTTGTCTTCCTCAATCTCTTTTCTTTATTTCTACCACCCCCCCCCCCGCCCTCTCTCTCTCTCTCTCTCTCTCTCTCTCTCTCTCATCTCCGACAACCCTGTTTTTTGTGTTATAATGTGATAATATTATATTTAGAGATCGAGTGCCTGTTTCATTAGATACAAAGCGCATAAACAGATATACAAACAAAGAGAGAGAACATTATCATACAAGGCTCACATTAATTCCAAACAGAGAGGAATATCACAACAAATTAGAGATTAGAAAAGATGTGTTTTCAGACACCTCTTGACAGCTGTTATATTGATTAATTTGTCCATCTTTCTCTTTCCTCTTTCTCTCTCCACTTTTATTACTCTCTCCAACGTGTTCAATGCAAACCAATATTGATCTGCAACACATTGCATTTGAATGGAGAATACATTTTACGACCCAATGTACAGGTACAAGTACAAGTCAAAGATGCAACAACACTGTGACAAAGGATAATATAAATATGTTAATGTCCATTAGACCTAGTTAGAGAGAGTATGCACACATACTGTATGTAGTGTTCCAATCTCTGTTTCATGTTTGCCTTGAATCAGAGCTCAAACGTGTTCATTCGCACTTAACCTGTGTTCTTCTCATATTACAAGTGTCTGAAGAAACACAAGCTACAATTTATCTACCAGGATGAGAGGAGACCAACACAATACACTCTCCCTTCAAAACAACCACCTTGTAATATTGATTAGCATCCTTGCGGACTCCATCTCAGAGCAGTCCAGTATTGATTGCCTCCTACCTCAAAGGCTCTCAGAAATCTATCAGCTGCCCTTGCTAACCAACACAATCAAAAGAGACTCTGAAATTAGGTTAACGGCACAAAGAAACCACAGCCGCCATTGTTTAGGTACATTGATGGTGATTAATACAAGTACAATATCAGCATCCAGCCTCTATGGTTAATTGTTGGTAAACTGCAAAGTCAAAGGGCAGGAGAGTGGTATCTATTATAAAAATGGTTTGAAACTAAGGCATAAACATCATTATTATTTATTATTAGGTGGTCTGTCGTTATCGACAGATCACCTATTGTTTTCGTCAGAATTTTCTTTCTTTATTTATTTATTTATTTATTTATTATTATTTATTTTTATTTTCCGCACTTTTTTGTGTAGTGGATAACTCAAGATCTGTTTAGTCAATTTCTTTCAAATTTGGCACAGTCATAGGACATTGTCATAAGACGTGACAGTAACATTTTCAAGGTCACCAAGTCTTCATGACGTCATCCAGGCGCCATTTTGTGTTTTTTTTGGTACTTTTTACTCAAGATCATATCTTCATTACGGAAAAGCATTTCCTATTCATATTTATCATGATTAAGGTCAATTTCCGTCTGGTCAATTTCAGGTCAGAAAACGCGCGCGCATGCGTACGTCCGCACGTCAGCGCGCGCGCAAAAAATAAAAATGTTCAAAATCGTCTCAAATTTTTTTTGCATACGTTTGAGGCCATTTTAAGCATTTCGCAAAAAAACTCGCACACGTGCATGCGCGCGCGTTTTCGCGCGTAATGTTATTTCGCAACATAAAATCGGCAAATTTTTTGTTTCATCATATTTGGCACATTTTTCCAAGCATTTTGATACCTTGTTGACCTTTTTTTGACCATTAATAACGGAATGAGCGTCCGTTTAAGATAATTTCTGTGCGTGCGAGCTCTTGTAATACATAGTATACATGGGCAAAAACAATCCATTGTAGCGCTTTAGGATGCAAGGTGAACCCAATTTTTTTTCCATATTTTGATAGAGTTTGAATTGGAAATATGATTTCATGTCTCATTTGACCCTCAATCAACTCATGACATCATCATAATGGCCTCCCAACTCAAAATTTCAATTTGCATATTATGACGTCAGTATATTTCTGGAAAATTGACTGTATCTCTGTAAATATTCATCGATTTTCTTCCAAATGTTGATATTATCTAGCTGAGACAATTCTCTACAAATGCAGTCGTCACAATATTTCATTTTGACTAAGGTATCATGGCGTATTTTTGCGATTAATGGTGGCATGTCATTTTTTCACATTTTGCGTGTATTCTCTATGGGACATGACTTTTTCTCAAAACTGGATTCTACATCCTGTCTTTTGCGAGCAATATCTCCGTCGTTTTAGCTTTGTTTTCGCTGAGCTTTGAGTATGTTGTAGCTGAGACAATAAGCTATCACGAGCGTGCCCTTTATTTTTCGATCAGATGTCGGGATCATGCTCATATCTCACTTGCAAAGTGGGATTTGATAATTCCATTTTCCGGTTACGTGTAATCTCTATGGGAAATGTTTTGGTATATCGGTAACGCACTTGACTTCCGACCTCGAGGTCCCTGGTTCGAGTCCGGGCGTCTCCAACAATTTTTTTTCTTCACTTTTTTTTCTTTTTGACCTTTCACTATACCATCTCCTTTGAATATTAAAACACATAGAATCGCAAATAATGTAATAAACAACCATATTTACTTAATTATTACCCTATTATCACTTGATCCATTACTTTTTGTGTGTAATCCTTATGAGAGATGACTTTTTCTCAAATCTGGATTCTACATTCATGTCTTTTGCGAGCAATATCGCCGTTATTTCAGCTTGATTTTTGTTGATTTTTTAGTATGTTGTAGCTGAGACTATACGCTATCTAAACGTCCCCTCATTTTTTACTCAGATGTCATCATGGTCTGTTGATGACGATCATCAACATCACCATGATCATCATCATCGTCATCACCATTACTATCAAGATCATCATCATCATGATCATCATCATGATCATCATTCTTTACATGTCTATATAACTTCTCCCTTTTTCATTATAGTAAATATTGAATTAAAGATGAGCATGAACATAGGAATTGAAGACAGACCACCTAATTCGTCCCCATGACGAATTAAATTTCTAGTTTATTTTATTTCTTTTTAGGGGGAGGGGGTCGGTTGGACACGTTGAATGTTGTAATGTGCAATTTAGTACAAAGTGCAAGTAAGACCAAACCTTCTAAACCAGATAATGTTCTGGTATTAAGAAATCCTGACAAGTAAAGTGGGAATGAGAGGTTGATGTAAAAGAAAGACAAATAAAGAAAGATAGAGATAGAGAGAGAGAGAGAGAGAGAGAGAGGGGGAGAGAGAGAGAGAGGGAGAGAGAGAGATAGAGAGAGAGAGGGGGAGAGAGAGAGAGGGGGGAGAGAGAGAGGGAGGGAGAGAGAGAGAGAGAGAGAGAGAGAGAGAGTGAAAGAGCAATACAAATAAACTCAAAAGAGTATACTATGAATAGGAGAGAGTGGGTAGGTAGAATGAGAGAGAATAGCAGTACAGGAGAGGTGAGATATTAG